TTTCTAATGTATTATAGTATGAATCTTTAAATATACAAATATTTGTTATCAATGTATAATAACATTAATAGGTCATATATGTAATATTTTCATGTAGCTACATACACAAATAGATGCATATATTCAGTGTGGCAATTATATCATTTACTAAATAGTGATTTAGGTGTTTGTGATATTATTCCCTGCCCTATTCTGAATGTTAAAATTATTTAATAATTAAATATTTTATTTTATCTTTAGGATATATGATATGAGAAATAAAGCATAAGAAATAAAATATTCTGGCCTTTTACGGTGGTTCTTTCATAGGTAAGTGCCACGACAGACATAGACTTCTTCGATCTTCAGCATGCAGTGCACTAATAATTTACACCATAAAAGCATTAATTGAATTTTTGTAAAATCAAGAAAATTGTTACTTTTTCTTCTTTCATTCTATACTCATTTTTCAAATCTTGTACAAAATGTCAAATGAATATTCTTTTGTGCTTTTACCTCATGACTCTTAGCACAATTATATATATTTTTGCTATAATGATGGAATTTTTATTCTGGAAATCACTTTTGAGATTAGAGGAAGAAAAGAGTTAAAACACTGAAATCCCCTACTATGGTCTCTATGACTTCAGCCAAATCAGGTAATTCAGTGATAAATCACCACCTTTATACTCCAGGTAACAGAGGATGAGCAGATCCCCACCATCTGTAGCTAATTTTATTTTCTGCTGATATGAAGAGTCATTTCTAACCATCTCTTGAGCTGTAATTCCCACTCTGAAATGGAATAAAACATACCACAGCTACAAAGCAAATGGACCTATGCAGGTGATTCTGAGGACACTTGGCATCTTTTCCTCTCTCACGTTCCCCTGCTGTCCTCTGCCCTCTTTTTGATCCATTCCAGTTTCTGAGCCAGCCATTACTCCCATGCATAGGACACTTTTGGCAGCTAGAAGAGTCATCAGAACACTGGCCAGCCCTGGCTGGTTATGCAGCAGATGTTTGTGAAGTCACATTTTTTAAAAATTGTATTCTCTGTAGAGAAAACAGGGTTTAAAAAATATTTTTTCTATATTACACTTTCTTCTATATGAATAGTTCAGTACTTGAAAGGCAATTTTTGGAGATAAATCATAATATCTGCACATTTTCTGCTGATATGAATAGGTATTTATTTGATAAACAGAAAGTCACAAGAGTTTAAAGTCTAACAGGAAATCATATTTCCATGTAGATAATCAGAACAAGATACTGAACCACACCAAGTTTTTACTGAGTAAAAATTAGAAAAATATGATTTAACATCATATTATAAAAAATTAAGATGTTATCTATACATCCTCCATGATGAATGTAATCATTATGTACTACAAACATGTACTAATAAAAAATAAAATGAATAAATTATTTGGTCACATATTTAAAAGTGATATTTTCCCTTAGCATTTAGCCTTTGTGACTTGGCGAGTCAGTCTCTTGAGGGGTTGCTTTATATACATTTGTTTATATCATATGTGAAGAAAAAGAGTTAATATTCACTACATAAGAGCAGTAAATTAAATTAAATACCTCTATTGTTCTTTACAAACCCCAAATTTTGTTATTTTGGTTATTAATAAATATTTCTTTTTGTATGAGCATAGTAATGTCTGAGGAACTCACTTACCAATATATTTATACAGTACAATAAAACAAGAAAAAAAACTCTATGAAATCATGATATGATGAATATCCAAATAATATTTTTAAAAGCTCCTAGAACTGATGGATTTTGTAAGGTTAATGGCTATAGTGTTATTATACAGAAATAAGTTGTGTTTCATTCAAATAAGCAATTGTATGTTGAAATTCAGAAGACACAAACATGTTCAAGGCATCAAATGAGTAAAATACTCAGGTATAACTATAAAAAATTGCAGAATTTGTATGCCCTAACTATAAAATACAGATGAGAAGAATTTTTAATAATACAAGTAAGTGAATAAATATACTTTGTTCAAGGATTAAAAAGTCAATGTTGTTAAAGATCTAGAAAAACTGATTACAAATATTTCTATCATAAACAAATGTTTCAAATGTTAGATATGTTCACATGTATATGAACATTACACAATGTATACATATGTGTATCTAAACATCACATGATACTCTATTAATATGTACAATTTTGTGTCTATCAATGAATAAAACAAAGCATGTATACATCTATATGTATAAGGCTGTCCATTCTTTCTATATTACTCTACAGTACAAGTCAGCAGAACATGACAAATGGGCCATATGTAGTTAATGTCGTATTCTTGTACAGTCCACAACTAGATTTTGTTTTGCATTTTTAAAGCTGTACAAAAACTTAAAAGATAATTATACAACAGAATGTATATGCCAGAAATATAAAATATTTGCAGTCTAGTTCATTACTGAACAAGTTTGTTAATCATAAATTATATAACCAGTAGATACAATCAAAATCCTAGCAGGTATTGTGTATATACCAAAGACTGGACCCTAAAGCTTATATGAAAAGAAATGAACAGCAATAACTATATTTTCCAACTTTGATGTATGATAAAGCTATTATAATCAAGATACTATGGTATTGGCAAAAAACATACTCAGGTATCAATGAGAGAACTAGGGTCCAGAAGTTGACGTGTACAAAAAGTCAAATGGCTTTGTGATAAAGACATAATAATTCAATGACTGATTCAATGGTTAATCCATTCAACAAATAGTGCTAGAAAAATTAGATATATGATATCTATATAGATATCTATATCTATGTATATATCTATATCTACATAGATATATGTTAAACCATGTCAGAAAACCTTGATCCATACCTCACACCTTATATAAAAATTAATTCAAGATGAATCCTAGATATAAAAGTATGAAAAAATATAAAATTTGTATAAAAAACAGATGAAAATCCTTGTTATATTAAGCATAGTTATTTACAGTATCAAAAGAATGATACATAAATGAAAACAAAAGCTATGTCATGGTTTCAGAGCCTTTCAGTCCAGGGTTGGCTGGCTCGAAGGCAAAAACATCATGATAGAAGGGCATGGGACAACAAATCTCTTCAGTTCATGATTGGAAGCAGAGCAGGAGAAGATACTACAGGGAAGGACCATGTATAGGTATACTTTCCATGATTCACCCAGACAAACTCAGAAGTGTACTTCACTAATCCTTTAAGTAGCTCCCAAGCTAATTGAGTTGACACAGTTAAGCTTAACTCCTACAAATTAGTAGAATAGATTTTTCAAATTTTTTCTTCTCTTTTTTTTTTCTGGTGCTTGGAATTGAATTTAGAACATTGTGCTTGCCAGGCAGGTGTTGTGCCACTGAGCTAAATCCCCGGCCCCCCAAATTTTAATACTAAGCTCTGGCTAGGATCCTATGCCATTAGAACCCTCATATACTTCTGGAATAAATATCTTATATTGCAGTACTAACAGTTTGACAGCTTAAAAAATTCAATATACTATTTTCATATGAATCAGTAATTTCACTCAAGAGAAATGAAAAATTTCATTCAATGGAAACAAAACACCTGGAAAAATCCTAGGTACTTTTGATCAGGGTAATGAATGCACTATAATGCACCAATACAATGAAATACAACTCAGAAAAAAATACTATCGATTCACACAAAGATATAGTTGAAGATTATAAGGGTTCACCTGTAAAAGAAAAAGAGCCAAACACCTAAAGCTAATCTTCTGTGATTCCAACTATATAACTTCACAGAAATATAAAATTGTGGAGGTGGAAACAGATCAGTAATATCCAAGCACACCTACCCAGCTCTTAGTTTCTAAATACCATTCATAGGGTTCCTTGAAGAAGTCCTTGATCTCAAGATTGAAGTGTACACAAAACCTGTGAGATGAAAAGAGAAGGGAATTTGCACAGAATGATGGAATCATGTAAAGCAAAACCAAACCAAACCAAACCAAACAAAAATACACACACAAAAAACCCAACCCCCCAAAAAATCCCAGGAACTAAATAGCTAATTATAGAAGTCAACCTGAAAAAGTTTCTGAAGAGTAAACCTCAAACTATTTGAGGAACTATGTAAATATGAATTTTTATTACAGCTCATAGATTTTAAAAATGCACCAAGTATTAATACATATATATAATTAATAATTAAATAAATGAGAAGGCTTAGCTATCATTTAGAGAACCATTCCAATTAATAAATATTTTAGACATGAAGACAGTAGAGAAGTACCTCTGAAATGTTAGTATTGTACTTTCAGGCAAAATTCACCAATGTATTCTTAAATCAATTTGACCTGAGTTGTGATATTTGCATATTCTCAAAGTATTATTCTCATGATACTTATTTCAATGATGAAAATCATAAACTTAGAGTAGAGAAATTTAGAATATACCACCTTACCCAAGGAATGAAGGTTACAAGCAATTAAAAGGATACAGGGAAATCACGGTCCTTCTGATGCAAGAACACAAAAGTGCAAAGATTTAATATAATCATGAGATCCTTCTGAAAAACCAAAATTGAGGGCTTTTATAGGAAATGATTGCCCAATTCTCTTGAAAAATGTCAAGGTCATAGAAGTCAAGGAAAGACTGAGGAATTCTAACAGACTGAAGAAGAAAGGACAGCTAAATAACAAGTGTGAATCTAAAGCAAAATGCTCCTCATAGAAAAACTTATAAAATCCACATAAAACCTCTATCCTAACAAGTATTATGCAGAAATCATAATTTCCAAATTTTGGTCATGGTGCCATGGTCATGTAAAATGTTAAAATTAGAAAAAAAATAGAGGACCGATATAGAGAAATTCTATTACTCTTGCAATTTTTATGTGTTTCTAAAATTATTTAAAAATGAAAATTTGAGAGTATACATTATACAATGCTCAAGGAGTAAGAAATATATTAGATACACTGCTTATATCCATCTATAAGCATATCTCCTGCATAACACATTACATTATGCTGCATATCTCTTGTTACTATACTCTACTAAAATAGATCATTGAAAGATATAGAGGTTGTAAATGATTTCTTGTTGCATAAACAGGTGGATTAACAACCAAATAAATGAATAGATTTATGTTACTGTGAGGATACAGATTGCTCTTAATATGTTATAATAATTTTAGCAGTCTGAAAAAGTGGAATTTAAAGAACCAAGCATCTTCAAGTAATTACCAGATGCACAGCATTGTACACATTCTATATAAATTCTGACTATAAAGCATAGCTACTTTACTCTTAAATGAAGAAATAACTTTTTCTGTAATGGAAATTTAAAGTAAGTTTAAAAATTGCAAGAGGAATGTATGTATCAGAGAGTTAAAGAGGGAAAAATGGCACCTGACTCACATGATAGCTGACCCAGCCTGGTCTTCTATAGGAGTGACAATTATTGTCCACTTAGCCAGAGGGGATCCTGAATGGAAGGGACAGTCATCATTCTCTTTCAGTCCTAGAGACAAAAAATGGAAAGTAAGAGGAAATAATGGAAAAGTGAAGTATAATTAAATATTGAGTGAGATTTTTGGTCAATTAAAGTTATTTGAATATAAAATGGCTGCCTCATCATATAACTGTACTCTCTTTTGTAGACTTGTTTAAGGCAGACCAGATAACTGTTTCTAGAGTATTTCTGGATAAAATAATTGGTCAGATTTAATTTTCTATAAGGTCACCTTTAGATTCTGTGGCGTACATTATTAACTCATTGGCTGTGCTTTCCAAATAACTCATACCCTGGTGATGACTTATATAAAAAAAGAAGTATCTAAAATACAAATAGATAAAAATCTGAGGTGGAAATCAATGCTACTTGGATATACTGTGAGTATAGAACTTGTAGGAACACAGTTTGAAATTGAGACTTGATAATTTTGATTATTTTGTTGCTTATTTTATAACTTAGTAGTGATAGCTTTCTAAGGCCATGTTAGTTACCTCTGAATAAATCTGGAAGCTGGTGGGGAATCTATTTGAGATTCTCTAAACCCAATTGTTAAGTGAAAAAAAAAAAAGAAGGAAAGTGTTTCTTTTCATTTAAATGGATCGAATATGCCTATGTGAAAACACAGAATGTTGAGCAAGGCAAGAGGTGCCTCAGAGAGAATTGAATTGTACTGATTTGAACAAGATTACTCCCTTTCTTCAACTGCCAAAAACCCCAGATAATGTTTTTAGTACTTGATTGTATCTAACTTCAGGATCTAAGAGATTAAAGTAGATTTTATCATTATAGTCAAGATTATGTCAGCATTTCAATTATAACTGTATGCTGTTAATGGTTCACAATTTAGTCCTAAGGTGTCCTTTTCCTCTAAAGGGGAAAAAATAAAAAATTGATTGTAAGTTCCCAGAAGTAGAACAATTTTAAAAAGCTGATTTTTAAAAGTTAGGTATTTTAAGTTCAATAAATATTTAAATAAATGTTTAGGGACCTTTTCTACTCTAGCATTCTAAAGGAATATTGGTTTGATATGCATTGAGCTTATATCCAATATTAATATTCCTTAATTTCTGATAATTGAACTTTAGAATCCTATTACAAAGATATTATCTGTGTAATAGTGTTAGTAATAAGTGAATTTGGGACCGAGGATTTAGCTCAGTTGTTTCGATGCCTGCTGTGGAAGCTCAAGGACCCAAGTTCGATCCCCAGGACCAAAAAAAAAAAAAAAAAGAAAAAGTAATAAGTGATTTTATACTTGCTAAGAATCAACCTAATATAAAACAAACTGGGAAAACCATTCAAAATTTAATTCTTAAACATTACACCTCAAATATCTACATTAAAGCCAGAAAATATCCTAATATTAATTTTTTTCATACATGTTAGTTTGATCACTTCAATAAAAATAAACATTTATAGAAAAGATTTTCACCTTGTGCAAAAAGAGGACTGAGTTTTGCTATCAAACTCTGGAAGGTAAATTTGAAGTTCCTGGAGTGGCCTGCCTGATATCCCTGTCTTTTCCTGGGTGCCTTGGCCTAATCAGATAAGTAACAGAGTAACTGACCTTGAAGTCTTTGGACCATACCAACCAGTGATGTGGGTTGGGGCCTTCGCTCCTGTGATATAAGTCCACTTCCAAAAGGCTGGAGAGTGAAGGCAGCCTGAAGAGCCACCACTCAAGCCTGTGTGAAGCACCAATCAAAGGTCTGAATGTCAAAGTGAGCTTCTGGTTGGTGATTCTCCGTATGTATTTTCATGCCAGGAAAAGAGAACTCAAAGCGGTATATTTGGTGCCCTATATTCATTGGCTGATTTTGATCTTATTTCCCTGTAATCTATTATATTTATGACTATTCTTTTAGTGAATTACTGAAAGAAAGTGGCATTGTAGTCAAAAATGATGTTGGTTTTTGGGCAGATTGCTCCGAATTTTTAAGTTGGCAAAAATCATCCAGACACAGGGGCGGGGATTTAGCTCAGTGATTCCACTGCCTGCCTAGCAAGGTCAAGGTCCTGAGTTTGATCCCTGGTACCAATAAATAAATAAATAAATAAAATTACTCAGACACTTCCAAATGTATTAATACTATATTAAAGCAAGTTTCTTCATAGTTCATGAATCCATAACTTGAAGAAAATAGAAATTTCTGAAAGTTTATAAAAAGAGTTTCATTTTCTTTTTTTTAACCCTATGTGATAAAACAGAACTTCCCAGACTTTGAAAATAATCTGTAGAAACAATACCAATGGGGTATATCTTCAAGACCTGAGGCCCATTTGTTTTGGTATTTCAGTGGCTGAGCATAAGTGCACATAAAATAAAATTCCTCTGGATTTATGGCTGCCTAATTCTCAGTCTTCCAATTATCCCTTAGAAATTAAATTATTTATGGCTGTCAGTCATTAGAGAACTGTGCCTTCAAGAAATAAAGGTAGACCCATGAAATGATCTTGATTTTTTAAAAGGACCCCTGGACTATTTATCTACTCACTATACTTTAGAATAAACGAGATGTCATACTATTGTCTAACAACTTTTAAAGCTCTCCATAGAGATGCTTGCTCTGTCTGAGAATATTAATTTGCCCACATATTTTTCAGATGAGACTGGCAGCACTGTAGGATTTAAGAACTCTGCATTTCATCTTCATCTGATCAATGCCAAAGGTAATGTTGCAGACATTTTGTAAATATTTATTGAATGAGCTGAAGAACATGTTCATAACCTGAATGTCTCAACTACTGGTATATCTATTGAGTTTGAACAAATTCTAACTCATAAATTTTTGTATTGGTTGTACAAATTTGTTTTCTTTTTATTCACACATACACACACCAAACACAAATATGCACACGTATAAAAATCATGTGTACATGTTTTCTTCATGAAGACTATGCATATACTTAATCTATATATTTAATGTTCCTTGACTTGTTCTTTTCCTTGGCTATCTTCTCTACATTTATTATTATTTCTAAAGGAAAGTGGTATTGTTTAATCTGCCATTACTTTTGCTTCAAGTTAGTTTCTAGAAAATTAATTGCATCTATTTTTAATAACACAAAAAATATTAACATAAAATGAAGAAACTCACATTACTTCTTCTCCAGTATCCCAAGCAAACATCTGTTTCTTATTGTCGCGATGTATAATATATTAATATTATTTTATTTTTATGGTCTCATGTTTATGAATATAATTACTACAGGATATTATTAGGATGTTTTCTCTCTCCATAAATGCAAATATAATGTAAACCAGAAGCTTTCTAACACTTACTTTGTCTATGTGCTACTGTCAAAATTATCTCCCACTCCATTCACTTTGTTTCATTCTTTATGAAGAAATGCAAAAGGTTTCAGGTTAAAGTATCTACTTACTCATTTTTGTTCTCTTTTAGGAATTGTTTCTAAAATAAAGAATTTTTCCTAAGTAATTGGTTTTCAGCTGCATCTATTTCTTGATTTCCTTAATTTTCCCTCAGTTGTCAGTTGAAACTTCTTATATCTTGTATCTTGTTTGCATTTTTTTTTTT